GTGCTGGTTTTCCGGAAGGACCGAACGGGGCTTATTGCTTTCATTCTGCCGGGGTGGAAGAGTTTAGTCGCCGGTGTTCTGTGTGTAGGAGGAGGGGGGGAAGAGTTGGCTTCCAGGCTTCGCTTCGGTTATTCCTGCTTAGTTTCTGTCAGACGGTCAGACTGGATCAGCCGAGCTGTCAGAGCGGGTTTTATAGGCAGCAGCCTGCGCCTGTGACACGGAGGGGCTGAAAGGCGCTGATTGGACGCGGCTGGCGCGTCGCTCACGGCACATCTGGCCTCTGATTGGCTGATTTACGCAGCGGCGGCGCAGGACGGAGGCGGAACCAGCGGAGGGCGCTTCAGCAGCTCCGGTGGGCAATTTGGAAAATTAAGCGCTTACCTGTTTCTGATCAAGAAAATTAATGATGGATGTCAGATGGTGGGGATGAGGACGCGCCTGGAGGCTTTTACGCGCAACTTTAAAATGGGGAAAAATATAAAAATAGGATATATAGCCCACAGGGAATCAGTTAGAACAACGTTAATAATTATTATTATTAAATAAATGAGCAGAGGAGATGTTCGATGTGTCCAAAAATGATCATTTTTCATCTTTTACCAACATTTTCAGATGTGGTTTTGGAGCAGGCGCGTCTGGAGACTTTGAAATCAGAGCAGCTCGGAGCCGGTGTGAAGGCCAGCATGAGCGGCTGAGGGTCAAACTGGGAGGAAATCCATCATGGGTTAAAAAAAAAATAAATAAAAAAAAAAATAAAAACTTCCAATTTTCAACAGGAAAGGGTTTAATGCGATGCGCACAGAAACTCGCTGAAACTTCAGGTTGTTTCTACTTTATCAACACTCTAAAACAAGCTTATAGTTTTTATTTTTCATTATTTTAGTTAAGAAAAATGTATTCTATGAGTTTTACTGTTTTAAAAAGATCTGCAGTGACGTCCTTCTACTATATTTTATTCATTTTATTAAAAAAAACGCAAAGATGACAATAGTTTGTTTATTTTGTTGCTCAGGATTCCAAATGAAAAACTTCCTAATCTTAGCGGCGCATAAAGACGTGATTAATGATCTGATGTTTTCTGAATGAGCCATTTGTTTTGTCGGAATTACGCGCTTCATCCTTCAGCTGGAGATGATGACAGGGCGCAGGGGGGGCCCTCAGGGGAAGGTGGAGGCTGCTGGAGTTCAGCTTTGATAATTCCGTTTCATCCAAATGAATATATGCGTCTTTAAAAATATAAAAATGAGGAGATATCTGTGAGATGTAACAGTGAGACTTTTAGTGATTTTAAGACTTTATTTCAAATAAAGCCGGGTTTGTCGTGAAGAACCCAGAGAAAGTCTCTGTCAGGTTTAATAAGATGATTTTCAGTCCACAGAAGGAGTCAGAAACGTTAAGAAACGGAGCCGAACACCATCTGCGCCTCCTTTTTACGCGCGGCTTCTCCTCCAGCTTCTTTCCAAACATAATCTAGATCTCCCACAGTCTGTGTCCACATCTGCTGCGAGTGATGTTTCCCATTTCCTCTCCTCCTTCCCGTCCTCCCCACACCTGTGAACCCATTTCGCAGGACGCCCCCTGACTGATGCCTGAGAGGCTGTTTGACGGACAGGTCAGAAATTGGCGCAAGAGCACGTCGGCGCAAAGCCGCGCGCACCTCAACCAGCAGCAGCAGCGGCAGCAGTCTCTCTCTCTCCTCTCTCTCCTCTCTTGGAGCAGACTCTCTGGCGCCGTGACGTCAGCCCATTCACAGCAGCCCTCGAGCCAAGCCCTAGCGGCGCCTTTCGGACGGTTTCCATGGAGACGATAGGGGGTTCAGGGGGAGGTCCTCAGCTGATCAATCAGGAGAAGGAACCCCCCCTGAAATACCCTGTCAGCACCGAAAGACATCCAGGGGCGCAACTAGAAATCCGCTGGGGGGTAAATACCCTCAGGGTGATAGGAAGTGCGATAATGGCAAAACTTAAATGAAAAAAAAAAAAAAAAAAAAAATAAAAAAAAAAAAAAAAAAAAAAAAAATATAAATTTTAATTTTTAAAAATAAATTTATATTTATATAAATATAAATTTAT